CCTTTTATTAAATAGGCTAGCCATTCTGACAATTTGAGGTGATTTCCTTATTGTGGTTTAAATTTGCATTTCTTCGGATGATTAGGGACATTAAGCATCTTTTCAGGGAAGTGGGGGCACCGCCCCCCTGTCACACACAGAGCAGGGCCGATCAGGGGGGTTGAAGGAAGCTCCCCCCTTTCACGCACAGAGCAGGGCAATTCGAGGGGGTTGGGGGGTCTGCCCCCTGTAACTCAAAAGAGCAGGGCCATTCAGGGGGGTTGGGCCACTCCCCCCCCCCCCCGTCACGCACAGAGCAGGGCCCATCAGGGGGTGGGGGAGCTCCTCCCTGTCACGCACAGAGTAGGGCCGATAGGGGAGTTAGGGCACCGCCCCCTGTCACACAGAGCAGGGCCGATCAGGGGGTTGGGGCGCCACCACTGTCACACTCAGGGCAGGGCCGATGGGGAGGTTATGGCTCTACCCCGTCACACACACAGCAGGGCCCGTGGGGGGGGGGGGTTGGGGCGCCACCCCCTGTCACACACAGAGCAGGGCTGATCAGGGGGTTGGGACGCCACACCCTGTCACACACAGAGCCGCAGGGCGATCAGGGGGTTTGGGCGCTGCACCCTGTCACGCTGATCTGGTGCCAGGAGGCCTCGCGGCTCCGCTGATCCCGGTGCTGGGAGGCATATTACCCTTTTACTATATAGGAAAAAGGCCTGGGGGCCGGCTGGTTTGCCCTGAAGGGTGTCCTGGATCAGGGTGGGGGTCCCCACTGGGGTGCCTGGCCAGCCTGGATGAGGAGATGATGGCTGTTTGCAGCTGGTCACACACCCTTCAGGGGGGGGGGTCCCCACTGGGGTTGCCTGGGCCAGTCTGGGTGAGGGGCTGAGGGGCTGCTTTCAGGCTGGCGGGTTTTGACTGAAGCTCCCAACCACTCCTTTTTTTCTTTTTCTTTTTTCTTCTGGGCCAGCTTTAGCTCTGGCTCTAGCTCTGAGGCTTCCGCTGCTGGTTTGTTTGCTGTTCTATAATCGAAACAATGTATAACTTCAGCTCTGAGATCCCAGCCGGCTATATTTGTTAGAATGTTTCAAACTGCCAGCTCAGAGGCCGGCAAGTCAGGCGGGGAACGTTGGAGTCTGCAGTCACTGGAGCAAGCAAGCCTCACGTTCGCTTCCAGCTGCCTGGCTGCCGGCCGCCATCTTGGCTGACAGTTAATTTGCATAAGGATATGCTGATTAGCCAATGGGAAGGGTAGCGGTCGTACGCCAATTACCATTTTTCTCTTTTATTAGTGTAGATGGGAGTCTGTTTTAATCTTTGGCCAGAAATGTCCTAAAGCAGTTTTTTAAAGTTCTGTTTGATGCTTTTTCAAATGTGCCCATTCCTTATCTATGTCAACATAAGAAACATTCAAACCTGCAGAGAGCTTTTATAAGAGTTTATTTGAGCCACACTGATGACAATTGCTGGGAACCAAGATTTCAAATGCTTCTGAGAAAAACAGTTTTGCAGTTTTTCTTATACATTTGAAGTTATAGAGGGAAGTAAAGAAGAGTAGGTGAAGGTGGGAGAAAACAGGATGGGGATTAGATAACACTATAATTAACAAAATTATGTGCTCTCTGGAGGGAGGTTACACCTTCCAGGGGTATTTCAAAGGTGTGTTAACCTAGATGCACAAAAACAATGAACAGAACTTGCTTAAAAACCTTTCACTAAAGAAGTTATATGCTGGGGCATGACTACCTATCATGACTTGCCCAGTTAGGAATTCATGATCATATCATCCTATGAGGTTACCTTAGGTAAAAATCCCCTTTTCATCCACACATGTGAAGAATCCTGTGGATTCCTTATATATTCTACTAGAGGCCCGGTGCATAAAATTCATGCACTTGGGGGGCTCCCTCAGCCCGGCCTATGCCCTCTTGCAGTCTGGGACCCCTCGGAGGATGTCCACCTGATGGCTTAGGCCCGCCCTCTGGGGGATCGGGCCCAAGCTGGCAGTCAGACATCCCTCTGGCAGCCCGGCAGCCCTCGGGGGATGTCCACTTGCCAGCAGGGAGCAGATCTAAGCTGCAGTCGGACATCCTTAGTGCTGCTGAGGAGGCAGGAGAGGCTCCCGCCACCACCGCTGTGTTGGCAGCCATCAGCCTGGCTTATGGCTGAGCAGAGCTCCCCCTGTGGGAGCGCACTGACCACCAGGGGGCAGCTCCTGCATTGAGCATCTGCCCCCTGGTGGTCAGTGTGTGTCATAGTAACCAGTCATTTCCAGTTGTTCTGCTGTTAGGGTCAATTTGCATATTACCCTTTTATTATATAGAATAGAGGCCTGGTACACGGGTAGGGGCTGACTGGTTTGCCCTGAAGGGTGTTCTGGATCAGGGTGGGGGTCCCGCTGGGGTGCCTGGCCAGCCTGGGTGAGGGGCTTATGGCTGTTTGCAGGCTGGTCAAGCCCTCCAGTGGGAACCCTCACCCCATGGGGTTTGGGCAGCCTGGGTGAGGGGCTGATGGCTGTTTTCAGGCTGCCCACACCCCCTTCAGGTGGGGGGGTCCCCACTGGTGCCTGGCCAGCCTGGGTGAGGGGCTGAGGACCGTTTTCAGGCTGCCCACTCCCCCTTCAGGGTGGGGGGTCCCCACTGGGGTGCCTGGCCAGCCTGGGTGAGTGGCTGATGGCTGTTTTCAGACTGACCAAGCCCCTCGGCGACCAAAGCTCCCAGCCTTTTCTTTTTTTGTTTTTGTTTTATTCACTCCAGCTTTGTGGCCATGGCAACTGGAAGCAGATATCTGGGCTTTATTTACCTTCTATAATTGAAACTTTGTTGCCTTGAGAGGAGGCAGCAGCCGGCCGGGTAGCTTGGCTTCTTCCATCATTGGGGCAACCAAGCCTCCTGCTCCCTCCAGCTCCGTGGCCATGGCGGCTGGAAGCAGGTATCTGGGCTTTATTTACCTTCTATAATTGAAACTTTGTTGCCTTGAGAGGAGGCAGCATCTGGCTGGTAAGCGTGGCTTCTTCCATCATTGGGGCAACCAAGCCTCCTGCTTGCTCCAGCTCCGTGGCTGCCGGCTGCCATCTTGGTTGGGTTAATTTGCATATAGTCGCTCTGATTGGCTGGTGGACGTGGCTTGGGGCATAGCAAAGGTATGGTCAATTTGCATGTTTGGCTATTATTAGGTAAGATTATATTTTGATTGGTTGAATGAACGACCGGATGACAGGACACTTAGCATATTAGGCTTTTATTATATAGGATTCCTTTTTTTATCACAGTAATAATTTTTCTTTTCAAAATGACAAAAACTTTTTACTGATTCTAAAATTCCCGTTTATAATTGTAAATAATGACTAGAGACAAAACTTTAACATCTTTAGTTAATCTCAGTACTTAAAGAGCCTGCATTTAAAAAAAATATATATTTTTATTGATTTCAGAGAGAGGAAAGGAGGAGAGAAACATCAATGAGAGTCATTGATGGGTTGCCTCCTGCATGCCCTCTACTGGGGATCAAGCCCACAACCCAGGCATGTGCCCTGACCAGGAATTGAACTCTGACCTCCTGATTCATGGATTGATGTTCAACCACTGAGCAACACCAGCTGGGATCTGCATTCTTTTCATATTTTAGGGAAAACTACTTTTAAGCCATTTTAGACAATTAGGTAATTGGGTATCTTGTGTTTTTTTTTGTTTGGTTGTTGCTGCTGTCTTATAATATTTTGGACGTGGGAAATTCTACAATGCTATCTGTATTTTTAGGAGGATTTAAAAACAACAACAACACTATCAAACACAAAGTCCTAATAGCTCATTTTCTTTTAACCCTTATGTTTTTGAAAGCCATAATTAAGATAGATATCAACCTTACAGGCTAACCTACTTTTACAAAGATAGTAGGTTTTCCCAATCTATTTTCTTCCAATTTACCTTTATTCAACACAGTGGGGAGAATCGATACTTCTTTAGAGTGAAGCACAATTAGTAGGCCTAAATGCAGTACAAATAGCACTTTATCTTGTTTATAACTGAAAGAACTATACCAATTGTAACCAGAAGAGCAGATTAGTCAGATCAAAATGTTTTGTCCTCAAGGTGCTTTTACTTAAGGAATAAAAGAATCTCTTCTTTGTTCTTTTTTAACCTGTAACATTTTTTACTTCTTTCGATGTCATTTAAGAAATCTTTGATTTAATATAAAGCCAATTTGAGAATTAATGAAGAAATGCTTAGACATTGTAACTATGTTTACACTAATTATACTAGACTTCATAGTACTATCCCCAATTCTGATTTTTATGTACAATTATCTTAAAGGCAGGATTGTGTATTAAGTGTGACTGTCTTCACACTTGTAAAATTTAGAATATGTAGAATATATAGCCAGAGGGTACATAGAAGAGGAAAATATATTTGATGGCCTTTGTTATTTTATTGTAATTTGATTTTTAACATTTTTGTATTTAATTTTTGAGTAGTGTTCACAAGGTACAAAATTCAAAGGCACCAAAAGATACACAATGGGGAAAGAGTTTTCCTCCTATTCCTTTTTCAGTCACTCAGGTGTACCCAGAGCAATCAAATTAAAAGTTACATCCAATGGTATTCTGCAGGTGTTTTCTGTGCTAGCCCCTCTGGCCCCTCCTTTGTTTAAAAGATGAGGTCGAAGGATGTAAAACCTGTAAAGGCGCCTTATTTTGAAACAGAAGCAGGACCAGAATCTAGCGTCTCCTGGCATTCTAATTCAGGACTTCATGCAATTTTTTCCAGTAAACCCACTGCTTCTTCTTTTTTTTTTTCCATTGCCTCTTCAAAGTGGCTAATTGGCAACTGATAATCAGCGTGGATGGTCCAATCCGGTTAAATTTCAAAGAAGCTTCGTTTGAGACTGGAACGCCCGGGACGGGTAAGGTTTACCTGAAGGGAGGTAGAGGAGAGAATTTTTGATTCATCCAAAGGAGGCAAAGGTTTTAAAAGTCTGACGTAGGGCTTAATCAAATAGTTTGACTTTTGCCGAGTCCAGGAGTCGGCCCCAGTCAGGCCCAGAGTGCTAAGGTCAGCGCGGCTCCCAGCCAGGCGAGGACTGCAGGTAGCCCTCTGGGCGCTCGCACCCCTAACCACTGCACCGGGACTCTAAGGCGCCGGCCTAGGTCGCGTCAGTCTCCGCTCTCAGCCTGCGGACAGCGTGCAGAGGGGGTGAGGCCTTGTCCTCGTCCTCGCCGCTTCAGCCGGCCGGGCGAGTGGGTGCAGGAAGAGACGCCCTGGTACCAGCTCCAGGGCCTCCCGGGCGCAGCCGACCAGGGTGTCGGGCTGCTGCCGCCCAACAGCCACATCAGACCTGGGCTGCCGGCCCTGGCCGCTCGGTCAGGGCCCCTCCGGACCCCACGGCCTCCACTCCCGGGGGCACAGACCTCTGGGCCAGCCTGCTCCCTACCCGGCCAAAAGCAGAAGTCTGCCCCACCCTGCCCTCAGGGGAAGACCGATCACGCAGCCAAGAACTCGTCTCCACCAACTGGGCATTTCTCCGAGCCCCGCGAGCAGGCGGAGTCACAGCGTGAGTGTGGGAAGGAGCCTTAGCAAACACAGCCGGGGCCCAATGGCTTACTTCCGCCTTCGGGTGCAGGCCAATGAGGCGCGTGGGGCGGGACTTCCGCCTTGTCGCGGTGCTGTAGTCCCCGCTGCCGCTCCGGGCTCTGGGGTCGGTGAGGAGACTCAGTCATGGAATCAGGTTAGGACTTCTCCCGCAGAGACGCGTCCCGCGAGCCTGTCTGTGTTGTGGGGCCAGCTTCCAGGTAAGAACCCCCGCGGCCTCGGAGCGGCCGGGCGCCGGGCCTGGGCCGGAGAACACACCCCCTCGCCTGACTTGGAGCTGCGAGGTCTTTGCTGTTCTTCCGCAGGCTGGGCGCAGAGGAAAATAAGCTTTTCGTAAAAGGTTATAAAGATAAAAAGCTCTGCCTTGGGAGGGCCGAGACTCCCCCACCCCTCACCCCTCCTCCCTCTCATGAGTTTGTCTGTATCTGAAGTTGCTGGTTTATCCGTTTGGCTCCTCACAGTTCCCTGCCGAGGTGGCAGGAGCTTGGGAAGATGTTTGGAAGGCTTCTCTTGCCGCAAAGTCCCCAGGCTAGACTTTAGTTGCGGGGACTCTTTAATGTTTGGAAAAAAGAGGCTGTCACCTCCTTTCTTCCCAACCTTTTCCCTCCTCCTTTTCCACTCCCTCCCCCTCGCCCCCGCCCCCGCCCAGTGGGAGCTCAGATTGTAGGTGGGACGTGACTCTGCTGGACACCGAGTCCCCGGCCCTGCCTCTCAGAGTCTGCTGCTCTGCCCGGAAGCCTATTGCGTGACCGGCAGAACCCTGTGCGGGAGAGGGAGCAGCCCCACCCGAGGCCAAGCGACCCCAGAAGCACTCAGGCCACCAGTAACTTTGGTGGCAGCCGCTGAGTGCTCTGTCAGCTTGTGGTAAACTCCTCAATTTTGGTCTAATTTGGCAATAATAAATTTCCAAAACTATCGTTTTGTCCTCAGTTTCAGTACCGTGGGCAGCCACTCAGGTCCTCTTGTGTCCCCAGACCTGACCGACTGTTATTTGTCAGTGATGCAGCAGGAACAGTGAGAACGAAGACATTTCTTTCAACAATGATCTGTTGTTTTCCAAGGAGAACATCTGCGGTTTTGATACAATATAAGTCAGATTGGGTGTGCCACCAAAAGAGTTTAGTATATTAATGGATTTTGGAATCAATTTAGTGCATTGACATTAACATTAGAAAGAGAAAGAGAGGGAGAAATATCAGAGGACATCCTATGGAGTAAGAGTAGATATTTATTTCATGAAGTTTTTGTTGGTTTTTAAATATGTGTATATGAAGAAGATGTTAATGTTCTTATTCATTAATTGAAATAATGAATTAATTGAAATAAGTTATTACATAGTTAAGCCTCAATGTTTTTTTAAAATAATTGGTAGAGTTCAGTTATTTTTGTGTTAGAAATGACAATATTTTATTAATATATTTTTTACTTCTGCTTTTATTTGAAGCCAACCAGCTTGATGTCTCCATGTGTAATAGTAAATCATGTGGGCAGAATCTTGGTTTGTGCAGTTTCAGTACTTGAAGGGTTTGGAATAAACTCTCATCTATCCTTGTTTAAAGCTCATTTCTCTCAAGCATTTTGTTACTAGCATTCAATACCCTTCCTTTGATAGTTTTCTGCATCAGAGTAACATAGATGTAGTAGAAGTTTTTCAGGTACTAATTTTAGCAAAGTAAGGGTAGGACTAAGGGTATGATAGGTTTATGTCTTCGAGTTACATTGGGTAGGAAGGCATTTTATGTTTTATAGTTATTGCCATAGAAAAATGAAATGAAATGGCTTGGTCAAATTTCATGGTATGCTTACTTTAAACTGGTATGACCTAAAAGCAGTTGGTGTTTAAGTAAAAAGTATGATTTTGGACGTTTTAAAATCTGGGAATTAATGTTTAGCAGAAGGCAAGATGAGTTTAAATCAAAATAGTATTTTGCATCATTTGACATATTACTGCCATATGGCATTGCATATGGTAGTTTCACATGACAAAAAGGGAAGAAAGTTGGTAAGCATTGTTAGTTTTCTTAAAAGAGGAAACAGTGAATTTCTTTTAATACAACATGGAGTTTAATCATTATTTAAAAATAAATGTATTCTGCAAATGGTTATTGAGCATATATAAAAATACAGTATTAAGCTTTCACATTATGTAAAAGTTGTTTTGGAAATAGAACATATAATTGATATAGTCAGAGTTTACATATCATAGCATATAAATAGCAACAACAGTAATAATAGCTAGCATTGATTGTTTACTATGGGCCAAATACAAATCTAAGCACTTTATATTATCTTATGTAATTCTCACTGTTATCAATGTGGTAGATAGTACTATTACCCCCTTTTTATATGGGGAACGAAGGCATCACAAATACATGCTGAGTTAGCACAGGTTGTTACTGGAGTTACTAGAATTTGCATGTGGGCATTCTGACAGTAAAGCCTTCCATCTTATGTCATGTTTTATTAAAAAGTACAGAACGCTATGGGGTTATTTTGGATTGTTTCCTTGCTGGTTTGGACGACTTTGCGTAAGCTCTTTTGGCCCTCAGTTTCTTCAACTCTTCCTTAAAAAAATGTAGTAAGCCGTTATGTTTTTGTGGGAACTAGGATAATTTGTAAAGCACTGGACAGAATATGTGTTCAATGAATGATATGCCTCAGCCATTTTTCTTTCCTTGAGGATGTGAACATTCAAAATATTGTTAGAGGTTGGAGGAGGATGGGAGGTGAAAGCTAGTTCCACATAAGGACACTGAACCATCAAAGATACTGAGGTAGGAAAGCAAAGTTGTATGTTTAAGGAACAGGCTGGTAAGGATACCTATTTACAGATTATGTAGATCCTTAATACCAGGGTAAGGATTTTGTACATGATTCTTAGTTGAAAAGAACCCCTTTTTATGGATATTAATCTTTTTTTTTATGGATAGTAATCTTTAACAGAAGTCTGGTGTAGTGGAAGCCTGGAGGTTGGAATACAGTGGAGTTAAAAATTACAGTAGTTGAGTCAAGAATGATGACAGTGTGATTGTAGTGAAGGGTGTAGAGACCTAAGAAATGTTTATGTTGACATTGGGAACTGACATAAGTATAAGAAATTTTTGGGAGGATAGTGATCTATTAACAAAAACAAGGATATTATGAAGAACAGGTTTTGGTGGAAGGGGATTTAGGAGAAGAATTTATGATAGGGATTTTGGTTTTGGAGCTGAGGAGTTATTCAGATGTTTGGAAATGTAAAATGGGAACTGGGAGCTTTGTATGTTCCATAAAAATCTAAGAGACGATTTGCTCACATTTTGAGGAAAATTCGCCTGTGGGTCAAAGTTTCACAGGGGTGATGTGACTCTTGAAGGTCCTCAGAAATGCTAATTTCTCACTTAATAGAGATGTACCCACTATTTTTCTCTGTGATATGTTTTGTGTCCTGGGAAGATAGGAAAGAAGGTAGGTGGGAGGGAAAATTTTGGAAACCTAGCAAGACTCCTATTTATTATTTCAAGAAGAGCCAATAAATTGGAGGCTCACTAAGAACTTGGAAAGATGCTGTGATTTTTAGGTAGTGCCAGGCATTCGTACACACAGTTGAATGTTAAATTGTAACATCTTCAGATTTGTTATTTTTGTCATCCCCACTTTGTTACCCTTAATAGCAAAACCTTTCAAAACAGAGAACATGTGTGCTTTTTATGGGGCAGTAACAAGAGGGGACCTAGTGAGATTGTATTTTGCTTATAGCTAAGACTGTGGAAGGAGAACCTCAAAGGATAAGAGAAGAAGGCTACATGATGGGAAGAAGAGAAATTCTGTGAATGAATCTCTGTGCTACCCATTCTCTGGCTTCAGTTTCCTCATTTTATAAAACGACAATGAGATAAGAGAATTCTGACCTTTGGTAAGAAGGAAAGAAAACCATTTGGAGACCCTTCACACTTGAAAAAACAGCTCAGATCTAAGAGTAGTAGGCCTTTAGGTTTTCTCTTTTGGCAAATTTTCTGGGGTTTGGTGCATTTGAATAGGGCATGATGCTGAATTAAGCAGTATAATTTATCCATCTCTGAACTATTTTTACTTCCTTGTAATGCAAGGCCTGAGTTACTGGCCAATCGAATAAAATATTGAACATTAGGCACAAGTGATAGGAGAAGGAAAGGTTTACATATTTTGTCACACTATTGTTGGAAACATTACTTGAAGCCTGCTACTTATGGGTTTTTCTACAGCATTCACTCACCAAGTATTTATTAAGTGCCTTCTATGTCTGTTCTAGGCACTCCGAGTACATTAGTGAACCAAAGAGACAAAATCCTTGACCCCATGGAAATTATCTTTCAGTGGGAGAAATAAGGTAAATTTTAGTAATGGAAAGTAATTAGATTTTTCTTATCTACACTAATAAAAGACAAAGATGCTAATTGACCATACCTTCGCTACGCCCATCAGCCAATCAGAAGAGTATGCAAATTAACCCAACAAAGATGGCCGTTAAATTTGCATACTGAAGGCGGGGTGGGACAGTGCAATCCGCTGCCCACCCCGCTGCCATCCGGGCCTGCTGTGTGTGACCCAGCGCAGGATCTGGGCCTGCCATCTGCCACCCGGGGAGTGGGCCTAAGCCAGCAGGTGGTTATCTCCCAAGGGGTCCCAGACTGTGAGAGGGCACAGGTCGGGCTGAGGGACACCACCCCCGTGCCAGTGCACAAATTTTTGTGCACCGGGCCTCTAGTCCTACCTAATAATAGACAAACATGGTAATTGACCGTACCTTCGCTACGCCTCCCATTGGCTAATCATCGAGATATGCAAATTAACCGCCAACAAAGATGGCGGCTAATTTGCATACTGCAGGCAGGGCGGGACAGCATGAGCCACCAGCGCGAGCCGCCATCCAGGCCCTCGTGGGCTACCCCAGAAGCTGCCTGCCTGCCGCCCGTCATCGGATCCGGTCCCGGGCCGCAGGCAGGCGGGCCCCGGAAGCCCCAGAAGCCGCCAGATATGGCAGTAA